CAAGGCAACCTTGTAAAGAGCAGTGAAACTAGGTACACACCTGTGATCCTAGCTATTCAGGAGGCTGAGGCAGGAGGACAACAAATTTGAGTCCAACCTGGGCAATTTGGTGTTTGAGCGAGACCCTGTCTCAAAATAAAACATAGAAAAAGGTGGGAACGTAGCTCAGCGTGAAGGCCCTGAGCTCAATCTGCAGTGTTGAGTAGAATTTATATTTACTGTTTTTATTTACAGTAAAGCCAAAGGACTTACTATAAAGGTACAATAATTAAAATAGTTTTAAATTGCCACAAGGACCAAGCAGAGGTTGATAAAATAGAAATGCCGCACTGTAAGGAGCCTCGTTTGTTGTTGGTGCGGGCATGGAGCTCGTGGCCTGCCACTGAGCTACACCCCCAGCTGGCGGCCATAATTTTTTTTGACTGTATTTAATAATTGTCTTATTGAAATGTGAATCAAGCAACTGTAGCACCCCTGACCCAGCCCAACACAACGTGGAACCACTGGTGTGGTGCAACCCAGGAAGGGAGGCGCAGATCAAGAGCTATGACCTGTCAAGTCACAGGGCGGGTCCGCTGTCCTAGCGGGGAGCAAAGCCAGGTCTCTAAGCTTCACGGCTTGTCATCTTCTCTCCTTGACTAAATCTCCCCTCCCTCCCTCTCTCCTTCCTTCCTTCCTTCCTTCCTTCCTTCCTTCCTTCCTTCCTTCCTTCCTTCCTTCCTTTTTCTTTTCGGCAGTACTTGGGATTGAACCCACTAACCTACATCTCTGGCCCCTGTTCCATTTTTTATTTTGAGACAGGATCTTGCTAACAGCCTCCCGGAGTGTTGGGATCGCAGGCATGCACCACCATGCCCGGCCTGCCTCTTTCTTTTACCTGCATTGCTGGGGTGGAGCAGGAGGCTGGAGGATTCCTGGGGCTTGCTGTGACCTTGGTGGCATAGCTGGTGGTGACGTCTGCACCTGCTTCTCAGGGAAGTCAAGGCTGGAGGATCAGACATAGGTGGGAGAGACCCAAGGAGCTCATCTCACGCACGTGTCTGTGAAATGCTTGAAGCAGGCTTTCCTTCGGTCAGCCTGCAGGCTGGAGCTGAGCAGCCTTGAGGCTCCTGCCCTTGTCACAGCGGTGTCACCCACAGCTGTCACACAGAGGTAGGCGGGGTGGCTCTGGCCCTTCTCGGGTGCCTCAGTGGCCCCTGGAGATTGTTCTTTCTCAGGGCTCAGCGGCCATGGCTGAGGGGTCACTGAGCAGTGTGCTGGGGCCGTGGTGTCCTCTTTGCCCGGACCCTGGTTTCAGATCAGCTTCCCCTGGGGTGCTCAGAGTGAGGTGGAAACAACCAGTACACAAAGCGCTGCCATCTTTTTTTTTTTTCCTGTCATTTTTTCTTTCTTTATTGCTTGAGATAGGGTCTCACTGTGCAGCCCAGATTGGCCTTGAACTTACGGCAATCCTCCTGCCTCAGCTTCTTGAGAGCTGGGATGACTGGTATGTGCCACAATGCCCCATTTTCACTGCCATTTCTGGAGTGCTCAGTGGGCGTCAGGTGCCAGGCGCTTTCCACGTGAGCCGCTGGCTTGGTGCTCAGCCCCGTGAGCAGGGGTGTGTCACCTCCGCCTCACCTGAGGGAGCTGAACCCAGAGCCGCAGAATAGTAAATACCTGGCCTTAGGTCACACGGAGGCTGATGGGGGTCTCCCAGCCCAGTGTGTCACGCATGTGCACCCTACGCTCTGCTGCCCCAGGGCTGAGCTGCACAGCCCCCGGACCACACCCTTGCACACGAGCCCCTTTCTGTCCACACTGGGGCACAGAAACAAACAGGCTCCGCAGTCCCCGAGGTCTGAGCCCTGGCTTGCTGAGCACGCCCCGGCAGGACTGGCCCGCACCCTAGGCAGCTGGTTTCTTCATCTCTAAGAGGGTGAGAAGAGCATTTTCTTCAAAGGAAAGTAAGTCATGGAGATTTCCTCTTTATCTATGGCGGTGAGGTTGGATAAAGTCACCCCAGAGGCACAGACTTTGAACCTCCTGCTTCTACGCCATCGTCCTCATCTGTTTCCTCATCTGTGAGGACGCCTAAGGCTGAGACAGAAAGAGCGAGCTGGGTGTGGAGTGTGCACCTGTCATCCCAGCACTCGGGGAGGCTGAGACAGGAGGACTGCAAATTTGAGGCTATGCTGTACCGTTCAGTGATTGTACAAGATCCTGTCTCAAGAACATAAAATGAGGGCTGGGGATCTAGCTCAGTGGAAAGGCCCTGAGCTCAATCCCCAGCACCTAAAAAGAGAAGGAAAGGAAGAAGCTGACTGTGGCTGAGGCTCTGGGAGGCACTGATCCCGCGCAATGACCCGTCTCCTCCTAACGGTCACCACAATCCTACATTAGCATGAGCTTTGTGGTCGACCAACCGTGTGCAGCCACAGCAGGGGAGATGGGCGGATTCCCAGAAGTCAGCAGCCACCAGGCCACTCCCAGTGCGTCTCGCGCATCTGTTTGAAGACCCCTGGCCCACTCTAGAGATGTGACACTCACGGCCAGCGGCTCTGTCACTCGGGCCAAGCCGATTTACCTGGCACCTGTGTCTCCCTGTGAGGCACACGCAGCCTTCCTGGGCCCTGGACCCTGCACTCGGGGGTTAAACGGCAACATCGCCAGTAAAAGGCAGAGAAACATGAGGAACGTGGCACCACACGCAGGGCTTTAGCACCGTCCTGTTGCATCTGGCCCAGCGGGAACTCAATTTTGGCCACAAAATGCGCAGAAGTGTCTGAGTAGTGACCTTGAGGTCACACACACTCGAGGTGGATTTGCAGAGGACTTGGAAAGGACTGTCACTCGCTTCCAGGATGCCGTCTGCTGACTTGAGGGGCTGCTTCTCCACCCCGGTGCTACCTGCCTTGGGGACATCATGACGAAGGAGCCGCGGCCACCCTCGCCGTGGGTAAAGGGCAGGGGCACTGGCCCAGAACCTGCCCTCCATGCCTGTGTGCAGAAGGGCCGGTCCCTGAGCCTCCGGACCCAGCAACCGCAGTCCCCTCTTCCCGGTGCAGCTCTGGAACGCTCCTGAAAGGTGCCAGAGAAAGGCTCTCAGGACAAGGAACAGCAAAGGTGACCCTGTCTCAAGCCTGGCGAGGGGTCTTCTCATCCTTCTGCACTGCACAAGATGCGGGCCCGGGGCCAGCAGCCCCCTGTGGAATTGTCAGGCCACTTTCTGGCCATTAATTTCTAAGAGTCCATGAGGACCATTTGCATTATCCATCTTCAAAACTCCAGCTGGGCCCCAGAGGGCCAGAAGTGGGTTTGCGAAAGAGGAGCTGTAGCCTGCTGCACGTGGGGGCCCCAGGGTGCCTGGTGCCCTCTTGCATGTCACATTTTAAGGTGCCACCTGTGCCCCGGACACCATGGGGGGGTCACTACTCGGGGGGACCCTGGGAAGACGTGGAGACCAGGGGTCCATCAGCTGGGGAACCCAGGCCACACGGACACTGGGGTGGGGGTGGGCGCGGCTTGGTAGAGGCGTCCAGGAGCCTGACCTGGGCACTCGCAGACAGCCCAGCCCGCACCAGCTCCCCAAGCGGAGGCCGCCCCAGTGATGACCACGCAGCTTTCTTAATGGAAGGCAATCGCTGCGCGTGGCCCGCTCGGAGCACTTTAGCCTTGCAGGGCAGCAGACTGCTGACGGCTGATGGAACGGGGTCCGCGGGCGGGCGGGCGCCATGTCAATGCGAGGCCAAATCTCATCCGCCTGCAAACTTTCCCCCGCCTCTTGCGGGCCTGCGCCCCCCCAGAAAAGATTGCATCAGAGAGAAAGGGAGAGAGATTTCCATAATTTATAGTACGGGCATTTCACTGGGGACAGGCGCTAATCTGTACTTACCGATACATTTAAGAAAATGCATCCTCCCGCAAGCCTGCGCCATTTACGACTCCTGGCACAGACCGCAATGCTCAGTCTTCAATTAAGGGACACCTTCGGGTTCATTATCACACACTCGCTCCCTGTGAACCATGCCAAATGCTGTTTTGGCACGGAGCTTGGAAGATGAATTAGAAGGAAGTCTTCGTAATGCCCTCTCCCCAGTCCCCATTACCGTCCTCGGCGCCCTCCTCCCTCGCCCCCCTCACAGCGGCTTGCACTATTCAATCTCTCAACGTCAACCTCGATTCTCTAGAGGTGTAGTTAAAGATGCCTCGTCTCCGCTGTCTTCCGGCTCTCAACAGGCCGCAGCGTGGCCCAGCTGGGCCGCTCTCCACCCCCTTTCGGGCCGGAGGAGCCGCAGATGTCTTCTCCCTACTCTTAACGCCTGCAGTGGAGACCGGACGGGACGGGCAGACGCACGCGTGCGCACACGGGCGGCAGAGGAGGGCTCCGAGCAGGACAGGGGCCCATGTGTCTAAACCGAGGGCGGGGCCGCGTGGACAACTGAGCACAAAGCCAGTCCTGCGGCCACGGCCACGGCCACGGCCACGGGGACAGGAAGAAGCCTGAGGCTGCCTTTAGTTCCTCTGCTCCCTGCAGCCCAGGCCCGAGGGAGGACGCTCCCTTTGTTCCCATCTTGAACACACAAAACAAAATGCGCACGTACACCCACAGCACCCACACCCAGCAGCTCTCCCAGGCCCCAGGCTCCCTCCTGGGGCTGCCCAAGGCCCGTGGGAGCCACCGGTGAGCGGGGCGGGAAGACGACAGCAGCAGCGGCAGGAACGAATGCCGCGGAGTGGGGGCAGGCGCAGTCCGGGTCACAGGACAGCTGCCACGCTGGCCGCTGCACTCTCAGGCTTCAGGGTAGGGCGCCCGCGGCCAGGACGCTCCCCGACCTCCGAAAGGACAGGGACAGGGCTGGCAGCAACCGCGGCTCTCAGGCCCACCTGCGCAGAGCCCTGAAGGGGCGGAGGGAGCTTGGCTAGGTCGCCCAGGCCGCTCACACGGGCCACATGGCGCGGGGCAGGGCGCGGAGGGGACGGCCGGCAGAGACAAAGCACGCAGACCAGCACAGACCACAGACGCTGCATCCACAAGACCTGTGGCCTGCGGGGATTTTATTATATAGAGTGTAAAATGAATTGTCAGTCAAATAAAAAGAACACCTTTTAAAACAACATGCATAACATTCTCCAAGTCCTCTGTAATAGTTAGACATTTCAAGCACTGTAAGGAAAACAAGGAGGAAAAACCAGAAACTGACTTCAGTACATTTCAGACGGAATGTCCCTCAGGTCGATTACAAATGCAAGAAAAAATAGCTTCGGTTCCGTTTTTTTCCTTTAAAAATACATGTTATCTGTACAAGATACACTACAGTAAACATTGGAAATCATATCCCTTTATTAAATCACAATTATTTAATTCATACTGTGGTTAATACTAGGTTTATTAATTCATCTAGTTAATCCGACAAATATTAAGAAAATATTCAAAAGAAAAAAGCAAAAAACACCTTGGAATTAAAAAATAGTTACTACATTTTTATATGGTTTAATGTTCCACAGTGTTTGTTAAAAGTTATATTGAATTTCTTTTTAATATTAAAAATAACAGTATTTATATTTCTGAGAGAATAAAGGTTTTTTGTTTTGTTTTTAAAACCAGCTTGGAGGTCTTAGATACACAATCGCAACCGGTAATGAGACATGAAAAAACGTCTGCTAAATACATCCACACGTGTTTATATTACCCCTTAAAACTCTAGAAATTATATAAACTCTACAAAACGTCCCCTCCCAAGCCCTGTTGGACAGCAATACAATTATCTGTCTCAATTCAGAATTCACATAATTAATTACAATACATAATAGTTCAGGTTTTTAAAAAATGCAATAAAATCAGACAGCCAAGATACAAGAAATTAGAAGTAAAACACTTAATGAATTTACACATTTAAGAATATTTAAATACTGTTTAAAAATTTTTAAAAAGAATTTGTTACATACTACCTAAGACTTCCAAGCCACCTTCTGTTGCAACAGACAAAACCAAAACCAAAAACAAAAAAACTCTGTAAATAAAAAGACAAAAACAAAACAAAACAAAACAAAACAAAACATACCATGTTGAAATGTCACTGCTCCGAGGCACATTCTGGCACCTGGATTTGCAGGTACTGCTCCAAAAAGAATCCCAGAGCTTACACATTTGAAATAACAAACAAAAATAATGAAACGAAATTATCAGCAATTTTAGTAACTAATTTTCCCGGATTTTAGAAATATTCTGTTAATCTAAATATAGTGTTTCACAGAACAAAACAAAGCTCTTCATCAAAAGGTCCGCGAATCTAAAACCTCTGTCACAAACAGGTTTCTTTCACACTGATCTCGAGGGGAAATGCCGGCGCCATCGGGCTCTACTGCTCCTGCGAGAGGAAGGACAGTGGTCAGTCGGGCGGCGCCTCGGTGCCCTTGTGGGTGGGTGGTGGCACGTGCCAACCAGCACGCCGCTGAGTCCGGTCTAAGCAGTGGCGGCTGGGGCAGGGGAGGGCTCCCTCCTGCCAGGGATAATGGACAAGGGTGACGGCGTGAGCGCCAGCCCTGGTAATGGGCCTCGCACTCCCCGGGTGCTGGCTGGCAGCCGCAGGTCACCTGAAACGCACCCCGAGGGGCCCCTGACTCCCTGTCTCCTGTGAAGAGAAATCACGCCCAGCTTTGGCTGAAACAGCCCTCTAGGTTTCCGTGTGCGAGGCCAAGAGCCGGTGTGGCCCCTGCCCTGCCCTGCGTGTGCGGGCCGCCGTCCCCCATGCTGCCCACGGCCTTCCGGGGCAGCAGCTGAGCCTGCAGTGGCAGATGGATGCTCAGCGCGCTGCAGCTAGGGAGCCAGGCCCGGAGGGGAGAAGCCATGCTCACGCGAGCCCCTCGGAGGCTGCTGTCCCCCTCCTGTGCCTGGCTGGGACACAGCCGGCTGCAGCTGGGCTCTCAGGGCAGGCCCCCGGGCTGATCTGGCAAGGGAGTGGCCCGGGACGGTACAGACCTGGCTGTGGGCCTGCGCCTGCCCTAACGTCTGTCCGTAGAAGGCAACTTGCTGCCGGTAGTACTCGGCCCAGGCCATCGTGTAGTCTGGCGAGCTGGCCTGAGGGGCAGCGCTGGGGGCGTGACCCGGGTGACCTGGGGGTGGAGGAGGAAGGCAGTCAGTTCGGTGGGAACCAACGCGCTGGCTCCTGCTGTGAGGCCGCCCTCCCGCCCGCCCAGCTCCTCTCCAGAGGCACCTGCCCGCCCGCCCACAGCTCTGGGGAGAAGATCAGGACGCCCGGCGTGGGTGTCTGCTCAGCGTGCTTAGAGCCCACTAGGAGCTGGTGACGCCGGCCTCGGGAGCTGGGGAAGGCGAGCAAGCATCCGAACCTCCACGGGGTCCCCTGCTGGTGGCAATCTGACACCTCCGCCCTGGCCATGGGAAGGCCTAGCTCGCCAGCACGGGGACCAAGCGAGGTGCTACGGCCACAAGACACAGCGGCCGCTGTGCACGGGACACGCACGCGGCTCAGCGCCACCTCTCCAGCGCTGCCAGGCACTCTGGCTGCTCAGTCTCCAGCCTGCACCTGGCCCGGTGGGTCCCTTCGCTAAGTGCCACCTGCCCTTCAGCGGTCTGAAATGGCCCGACAGAGACAGGCAGCAGCGGGAGCGGCAGGGAGCAGGACGCCTGGACCTGGGCCTGGCAGCACCCCATGGACTCTAGGGACAGGCAAGGTCCGGTCAGGGCAGGGGAGAGGCGGGGGCGGGCCGCACGGCACTCACTCTTTTTGTAGTAGTCCTCCCAGGCCTTGCTGTAGTCGGGCTGGCTGCTCTGCGGCTGGCTCTGCTGGCCTGTGCAGAGCAAAGGGCGTCCCCCGTGCTTACCCCAGCGCACATGCCCTGCCCTCCTCAGAGAACAGAAGCCACACGCGCAGCGCGCCCACGGCTCACACAACCGCTGGGTGCGGGGGGAGAGGGAACAGGGCATACGCGGTCTCTTCCTCTCTGCCTGCCGTGCGGTGCTGGGCCAAGGGAGATGACCTCAGGGCCAGGCCGTACGGAGGGGCACAGACCTCAGCGCGAGCAGGATGAGACAAGGCTGGCTCAAGTGCCCGCCTGCAGAGGGCCGCGCTCCGCTGTCCACGAGCCCCGCTAGCGTGGCAGGTACCCTCGGGCAGGGCGCCCTCTGCTTTGCTCACCACTGCAGGCTGAGTGTGGGCTGAGTGCAGGCTGCAGGGCTGGCAAGGACTCGGGCAGGGGAGAGATGGGGGCGAGACGGCTCCCTTCTTCCCTGAGAGAAGGGTGGCCAGGGCTCTGCTTCCTGGATTCCTCCCCGACCTGGCCCACGCTACTCCTACACCCTGAGGCAGTCACTCAAGACCGTGGCCAGGAAACCAGGTGCCACCTGTGGCCCCAAAGGCTGCTTCCAGGGAAGGCCCAGGCTCCTCTGTGCCTACAGTGTGCCGTCAGTCTAGGGCTCCTCACAGGTCCTCTAGGCACAAAGGGGCAAAACAAGGGCTCCCATCACCCTGCTGCTTGGGGTCCAGAGATCAGCACCCGTGCAGGCGAGCAGAGCACACAGCAGGAAGCCGTGGAGCGGCCAAGTTGCGGGCAGCAGGCCTGGAGGCAGCAAGCCCGAGCACCGACGGCCGGGCCTGGGGGCTCAGGAGCTCCCAGCAGACTTCTCCCCAGACCCAAAGGGTCACACAAAGAAACACTGGCGGGAAAGGGAAAAACTGCAACCACAGAGCTCCAGAGCTAAGACCCTGACTTCAGAGACATAGGAGCCGAGTGTAGGCGCTGAGGCTTCGCTCCGGCTAGGGGTACACGAGGGTACACTGGCGATCAGCTGTGTGCTGTGCAGAGGACCTGCAACCAGGCCCAACAGAACTTTGTAGATGGGCTCCTGGTGGCCGAGCGCATAGGACGGGACGGGGACGGGGACGGGACGCCTTCACGGGAGCGCTGAGTGACTCCATCCTGCCCAGCACCCCCTCCTCACAGCTGGCTCTGGGGGAGATGCTGCCAGTCGGGCAGACGGAAGCCCGGGTGAAGGGACCTAGAGCAGCAGTGGCAAAGCTGTGGCACACAGGCTGCCGCGGGCGTAAGGAGCCCTTGTCGTCGGCACGGGAGCCACGTCGCCCCAGCAGCTGAGCAGCCCGTCACAGTTGTTCTTCCTAAACTAAAGCCTCAGTATTTGGGTTCAGTCGCAGTGCCAGTGTCTGTGGTAAGAAGTGGGTTTGGGGTTGCAGTTTGGGCGTCTCTGAAAGGTTCACCATCGCTGCAGCAGAGGGACACTGGCAAAGACTACCTTGAGGACAGGAGGGGACAGCCTGGGAGAGCAGTGCAGCGAAGCTCTGGGCCAGGAGCGGGGCCACGCTTGCAGGGCAGAGGACCCAGGCGCAGGAGAGGCTTGGGTGGACCCAGCCCCTGGGGGGCAGAAGGAACAGCTCTGAGAAGGGCAGGTGGCCCTCGGAGAGCAGCCTGTGTCCCCACCGAGCCACAGGCTGCTGGTACCAACCCTTTGGAGCAGCCCTGTGCGCCCCACCCCCGAGCCACTTACTTGGGACCTGCTGTGCGGGCTGCTGCCATGCCTGGTAGGTGCTGCCCCAGCCCTGGGTCAGGAAGGCAGGAGGGCCACTGTGGACAACGAAGAGTCACTCACACCTGTGCACGCCTCTCCAACCAGCCCCGGCCCAGCGCCCGCCTCTTCCGGCCCACTGCCCTTGGCCGCCACCTACCTCACGGGGGTGCTGTGGGGGTTTCCGTTCACCTTAGCAGCGAGGTTGGGGAAGCAACCTGAGCCCCTCGGAGGAAAGGCGCTGCGAGAAGAGAAGGGACGCCAAGCAAAGCCCCGCTGAGGGTCAAGGCTGGCCGGGCTCGCCACCCTCCTCCCACCAGGGAGGGGCTCCCTGGAAGTGGCGGGCTTGGGGACCTCCAGCTTGGGGGCTCTGCCCCATCACTGCTGGGCATGTGGCGGTTCAGCAAGAGGCACGCCAACGTGGGGACGCAGAGCTGCCCGCACCCAGAGCCTGGGGCAGCTGAGGGCTGGGAACCAGGCTGTGGTGCCGGCCCGCTGGGCGGTGGGCGCAGAACTCACTTTTGGTGGGGGGCGGCAGGTGGCGGGCTGAAGGGACTCTGTCCGAAGGCTCCGGCGGCACCCAGGCCAGTTCCCTGTGTGGGCAGAGAGCGGCTGTCACCCCTGTGGCGGGCTTGCCCTCCGCCCAGGCCCCAGGTGAGCCCGCTCTGGGACAGCTGTGAAGGAGATGCCCCTGCACTCACACTAGCCTTCCTTCCACAGCGACTGCGCGGGCAGCCATGGCGCTGCCCTCAAGTGACCAGCACCACCACACAGCCAATCCTGGCACCACCACAATTGCCCTGGCACGTCACCCTGGGGGAGGACCAACCTGCTTGACTCTCCCGTCAACTTAGGCTGGCCCAGGGCTCTTTCTGCCATTCTACGTCCCCACTGAGGTGATCAGTGGCCCATCTGTCCTCCATCAACACTCCCTTTCTTTATCTGCTTTGAGGTGCCTGAAACTAAAGCCAGAGTCAATGACAGCTGTGGCTGCAGGGCTGGGGGCAGGCGACGCCCGCTGTCATCTAAGCCTGCACAGGACACGCGCTGCGGACCGAGCCGCTGCGGCCCCAGGAGTCCTGCCAGAAGCTTGCCTTCCCTGGGCCTCTGACCTGGCCTCGGCCAAGTAGCGGGGCACTCCCGAGATGCAGGGATGGAAGGCACAGGAAGTGCAAGGCTCCAGGGAGGACAGGCACCTTGGACATCCCACAGAACGTCCTGCTGCAGCTGGCCAGGTGGGGAAAGGGCGGGTACGTACACCGACTTTCTCGTCGATGAGGTGCCTGGCCACCTCGATCTGCTGCGGGACGCCCCTGATGGTGAATATCCGCAGGTTGGGGTCGGTGTTGGGCGGGGGGTTCCGCTGCAGCTCCACGTGCGCGCCTGACTGCTGGTTGATGCTTTTGATGTTCTCGCCCCCTGCAGGCAGGAGGCAGGGGGTAAGGGAGGGGTACCCAGCCGCAATGCCCCCAGCAGTGCTTTCTACTGGGAACCCCCCAGGGCTCTAACAAAACCCAATGTTCACCCTTTAGCAGCCCTGCTGCCTGGAGGAATGCAGAGCCCGGCGCACAGGCCCCGGCCCCAGGGCTGGGTTGAGGCCCAACAGTGTTCCAGCCTGGCCCGGAGGCAGCCACTGATGATCCCCTGGCCACAGGCGCAGCCTACAGAAGGCACCAGGGACTCGGAGGGCCCAAGCACAAAGGGGCCCTTCAGCTGGGTGGGCCACTGCGCAGCTCTCCTCCGGTGGTCAGATGGGCCTTGGATATCCACCCCGTCCCTTCGCAAGTCCCTGTTGCCTCTGTGGGGGCGGGGGTGGGGCTGATAGGACACAGTTGGACTCTTTCAAAAACCTGCAAGAGTCCCAGTTTCTTATTGAAATTTGCGTAACAAAAGCTCCAGAAGCGTAACAATGGTCTGATTCTACTTCTGAAGTTTCACAGAACTTAGATTGCTCCTGGAGAGGAAAGGAGCAGCTGGAATACACCGCAAAGTTACAGCAGAGTTTTTGCAAACTTGGCAAAAGACAAAACGTTGGAAGCCTGATACAGGGAAGCAAGGAGCAACAGATAACAGACAGCGAAGACCTACGGCAGTGTTGGTGCCAACACTGCCCACCCAGTCAAAACCAACCAGAAGCGACATGGATCACTTCCCCTAAGGCACCCGGGCCCTGTGAGCACCCTAGCCTTCCCTGCAGCTGCATCTCTGCAAAGCAGGGCAGGAGAGGAGGGGACACACTTTGTTTTATCCTGAGAGGGCGACAGGATTCCACAAGGGTCAAGAGGAAAAAGCGGAGGGTGGGTCTGGCGATCCTTCAGCAAGGGCAGGGGCAGCCGGCAGCCGGGCAAAGAATCAGTCAGTGTTGGCTGGTGTGTATTGTGTTAGTTTAGGGCCATTTTCAATTTAAGGGAAAACAAACCACCCACCAGAAACACCCCACCCAAGTTCTGCGCTCCTGCTTTTCCTAAAGAACAGCTAGAATTTCTTGTCCCCTGGCTTGGGGCCTTCCCGGGCCGAGCCAGCCAAAAGCTCCTCCAGGCGGGTGTGCAGCGGCCTGGGCCCTTTCCTGAGGTCAGAGGTTTTATCTTCTGTGCCCCAGGAAAAGTGAGCACCTCTGCCCCCAAGGCAAGTTTCTGGGGCACAATGAGGAACAAAGAAGAGACGGAGGCTGTGGGGGGGCACTCCGGGGTGCTCTCGGGGCCAGCCCCGAGCTGTCTGGTTGCAGGTTAGGACAGAGGCAGTGCTGGGACTAGCGATCTGTAGCCCAGACGGCCCTGCCTGGTCACGCAACCCACAGGCCTCGGGAGCATGCTAATGCCCGAGGAGGCACCGCCAAGCTGCTCGGGGCCGGAAGGAGTTAATTTAAGTTCATCTTCCTTCAAAATGAGGTCACCAGCTTGGCACATGGTGGCCATCTATCGACTCATTCAGCAGCTTGCTCCATTCTTCCACCTGATGGGGGGGCAGAAGCGACCCACCAGTGGCCCCCGGCTGGACGTGAAATCGTAAAGCAATTAATCAACGCTGCTAAAAGGCCTGGCTGACAAGAGCAGGGCTGGCCACGCTATCTGTCAATGTTGCTGTGTTTATCATGGAAATCCAGCAGGGGCCCGGGGAGGCATGCGTCTGTCCAAGGGCCAGAGCCCAGGAGGGCTGGCCCGGCTGCTTCGGCTCCCTCTCCCTCACCCACATGCTTCCCCCAGAAAGGAAACAAGCCGCGCCACCCGTGGGGTGATGGGAAAGACCCTCCGCGTGGCCGGCACAGCTCCCGCTGGACTTCCTGCAGCTGCTGCTACCCAAGCAGCACACGCAGACTTGGCGGCAGGCACTACTCCACCCTGCATCTCCACCCTCAGGGCCTGCCTGGGGGGTTTTGCGGCAGGTGACATCCACGCACATGCGTGGGCTGTTCTGTGGCCGCAAGCGCTCCCTGCTGGAGACAGGCGAGTGAAAACCTCGGACACGATGGCTCTCAGAAGGCCGGGGTACCAGGCTCTGGTCGTCCTCCCACAGGTGCCCACAGACTTTAATCTCCTATCAGCAAAGAGGGTCTGGGTGGTGTGTGCAACACACACACTGCAGCACTCGAGCAGCAGTGACAGCCAGGTCACAGCAGCAGCGCCAAAAATCACCACCCACACTGTCCCCACGGTACAATGGCTTGATCTGAATGGCAAGGTCTACACCGCAGAAGCAGGTGTGAAAGCACACAGAACGCACTCTGTCCTCCAGCAGAGCAAGCGCGGATCTCAGCCGAGGGGCGAGCGGCACCCACGCGCTCCCGAGGCCTGCTGCCATCACATTCCCTGCAACGTGACCACCCCGAAACAGCTGAGAGGTATTTGGTGATGCAAGAAATCTGAGGAACTCTGGGGAACAGACGGCATTTATTTCCTCCATATGCTGTCACATGAACAATGAAGACAGTACAGAATCCAGCCTCAGACACAAGGCCTGCTGCGACAAGGCCCCCTCCACCCGCGCTTCCCCCCAGGCCTGCAGCAGGCGGGGATCCCCGCAGGCGCAGCTCCTTCCAGAGCTCTGCCTTGCGTCCAAGTTCCCAGCTGTCAGGGCTGAGGCGCGGCCCTGCCAGCAAGTCCACCTGTATGTCCCCCGACATGGCCTGCTCCCCGTAAGTGCTGTGTCCAGAGGACACAGCCCATCCGCACCTTCTTCATCAATGAAGCCCCAGCGCTCAAACCCAACGAGCAACACCTGTGCCAGAAAGCGCCCTCTCCATGAGCACAACTGTCCCTGGGACCCCCGAGGCGTGTCCGTCACCAGCCAGTCACTCCACGCAGGACCACAGGTCTGCTCACACTCACACCTGCCCCTCGAGACGGGTTGAGCTGGGGCCCCAGACAAGGCCTGCACCAGGTAGGGCCCCTGCAGAAGGAGGCCAATGGCACAGACCGCCGCGCCAGCTGGCTGCAGCCCCCAAGCCTGTGGGCCGCCCCCCGACTGCTCCCACTCACCTTTGCCTATGACGAGGCCGCACTTATCCGCTGGCACGGTGTACGTTATCTCCTGGACGCCACCAGGGGCACCCACATTCCAGTCGCCTCGGCCACGGCCTCTTCCCCTGGCTACTGCCAGGCCTCCAAAGCCGTCTCTTTCCTGAGAAGGACAAGGGTTCAGGGACACAGGTCGCCACTTTTCTTCTCCTTCTCTGGGGAGGAGGCTCAGGGACAGGGTTTCATCAGCGTCACCCACCAGCACCTTCAGCCCGGGACTGACACATGTCCTAGGTGTGCCTGAGGATGGTGCAGTGGACACACGCAGCTGCACCTGAGCCCAGTGGCCTTGGAGCTTTGATCACAGCACTCGACCTACAGGCATCAAGACTTGGGTATTTTCTACCAAGCTGAAGCTGCTCTACCCCATGTCTGAAGCCAGATCCTAGATGCCAAGGACCTCTGGGCACTCGGAACGGACGTGTGGTGCAATGTGGGACCATTTAGTCACTGCTGTCCAGCACCTTGCACTCCAACCAGTAAGCCGACAAAGTGATATAAGAAAACAGGTTGTCTTACGCCTGGGAAAAGCAGAAATTTGCTCAAGAGCGACTGCTGAGGGTGGCTGAAGGGAGGGGCCTGCCGCCAGCCCAGGGGCCAGGGCTGAGAGCACAGCCTCAATCCCAGCCTCCCAGGAGGAGTCCCTTCCCTCAGCGCACAGAAAGCCCTGTCCCAGACACAACTGCTGCGCTGCTCAGGGGCTGCAGGACCTGAGACCTGCCAAGTACGGAGGGCAAACCTGGCCATGCTGCAAGCTCCTTCACGCCAAGAAGCCCAAGTGTCGCCGCTCAACACAGTGAAGCAATGCTCGGCAAAGCCTGCTCATGCCGATGACAGGCAAACTGAACCAGAGTCAGAGCCAGCAGAGAGCAGAGATAATTGGAGTGCTTTTCCCTGCGCTCTGCTTTTATGCGAGACAACTGACAAGTAAACAAGGTAATTTGAGGGATTTATGTTAAAACATGCACACGCCCAGCCGGAGAGCGCAGGCATCTCCCGCTCAGACAGCAGCCAGCCGTGGGTCCCACTTAACCACCGCAGCCTGGCTCTCTGGTCACAGCCCGGCCTCTCCAGAGAACCCCTCCTGCAGCTCCGGGTGGGCCCATTCACTTATACTTTAGAAGGACCTTGGGGGCTCGCAGGGGGCCACCTAGCAGCGCCTCCTAAAGAAAAGCCGCAGTCGGCCATGAGGTCAGGGAGCTTCCAAGGCTTGTCCCAGGTCCTAGGGCCAAGGGCGGAGCTGTGCCTCCAATCTAACCAGCTGCTTTTGCTTTGGCTCAAGTCGCTCTCAAAACAAGTTTCCTCAATCAGCCCCTGCACAGGAGGATGTGCCAATCTGCCGGTTCCAGCAGCTCCCAGCACAGGTCACAGTGAGGCAGGGGTGGAACACCACTTGCATGTCTCAAAGACAAGCCTGGCCCTAGGTGCCTGAGGATGCACCAGGACTATGGAACTGAGAGGACATGTTAATACTGTTTGAGAGCTGGAAACAGGAAACAGAGGGACACACAGAGGTCCCTGGTCTCCGATAAGGCTGGGTCAGGGTGTGCCTGCTCCTCTGGGTGCACTTCCGGTCTGCACAGGACAAGCAGAGTACGGGACCCACCTGCGCCGTGAGGATCAACTCGTTGATGATATGTGCTGCATGCTGACACCGGTCTGGAGGGCCCATGACCTGCGCCGCTCTTTCTGGACTAATCCCGTCATCTGCAGAGCCAAGTGAGAGACGGGATTAAGAAAGCCCCAAACTAGGAAAGCAGGGCCAGGCTGATGCACGGTCGACGTTCTCACTGGTGCCACACGGGCAGTGAGACGGCCACCAGGCCAAGGGCCTGTGCTATGGCGAGTCTGGAAGACAGGGAGATGTGTGATTACATCTGTTTGCCTACTTCAAGTCAATACTCAATTCTCAAGCAAGTACAAATGCAGCTATTTTAAAAAGGTATCAACAGAAAAGCAAAGCAAAACTCAAAAGGCCAAAGAAATCAGAATGGCATTAAGGCAACAGTATCTAAAAATACCTCATCATAACGCATACCTCATCATAATGCTTCCCTCTCTTCAGAGAAACAAAGAAAACACATGCAGTGTAGAAAATTTTTCCCATACAAGCAAATTCATAAAATTCATTTATTTATTATTTATTTACTTATTTATTTATTTATTTAGGTTTTTTTCCCCCGGTACTGGAAATCGAAGTCACAACCTTGGGCTTGCCAAGCAGGCGCTGTGCCGCTGAGCTAAATCTCCAGCCCCAATTCATAAAATTTAAAGAAAAAAATATATAAATATACGAGATAGTTAAGACAGTTACACTACTAATTTCAATTAGTTGACTGAAAAGAAAGGTTTGCGCTTATACTGTCTGATCCATTTTTCATGCCTGTATCTTATAATCTGAGCAAATACTTTGAAAATACCAATATGCAATGTATTAACCATTGTTACTCTATTATCTTTTGAAATTCCATCCCCCCCTTTTTTATATTTGTAAGACAAGGTCTCACTATGCAGTTCAAGGTGGCCTTGAACTCACTTTGTAGCCCAGGCTGGCCTCAAACTTGCTGCAGTCCTTCTGCCTCAGCCTCCTGAGTGCTGGGATTACCTGTATGAGCCACCATGTTCAGCTTGTTTTTAAATTTTGTACCACTGTTACTGTTTTTCTTTAAAAAAAAAAAAATAATAATATTTAAAGAGCTGAGCATTGTGGCATCTGCCTGTAATCCTAGCATTCTGGGAGGCTGAGGCAGGAAGATCCCAAGCTTGAGCCCAGTCTGGGTAAGTTGGCAAGACTCTGTCTAAAAGGAGAAAGAAAAAGTAAAAAGAGCGGGTGGGGTGTGAGGGATATAGCTTAGTGTGAAAGCCTTGGGTTCAATCCCTAGTAACACAAAAAACAAACTCCCCCATAAATAAAAAAAATAAAATCCCCTACAATGTTTATCCTTTCTTATCATAATAAATTATCTCTATATAAAATCAAACTAACAGATTAAAAAAAATCTTTACTTAGCAAAACTATGAACTGGAAGTGCTATGCTGTACAAGGAGAGAAAACCCCTAAGATGGAGTGCAGTGGTGCTCGGTTCACGAACTTAATTCCTTCCATAGTCTGGTGGCAGAATCCACTCTGCCCAACTGTCGTAACCCTAACTCTACGCCTGGAATTTGGTTGCAACCAGAATCGTGCGCCGAATTCCGTCTGCAATTGGATTCTGGTTACAACCGCATTCGGAGCACAGGGTTAGGTCAGGGCTGTGGGGAGAATGCAGCCTGTGAACCGAGCACCGACGTGTGGCGGCATGAGGGAGCCAGCCAGGCCGGTGCATGCCGGCCGAGCGCGCGGCCGAACGCTGGGGCGGGGGCGAGGAGAGCCCAGGTGCGCAGGCCCCGCGGTTTCTATCACTAAGGGTTTTTGAGAATCATCAAAACCAACCTGGTTTAAACTGAATCCTCACACCAGCATCATTCTGGATCTTTCTGATCATCTCCCCATTTCTTCCTATCACGATCCCAACGGCGAACCTAGGCACAGACACCTAAGTACAGAAAAACAAGACCTCGTCAGAGCTTTCTTGAATCTGATTTTATTTTTTAAAAAACATAATTTGGCTTTCACGACAGTATAATGCTAGAAGTAACATAATAAAGAATTTTGTTTTCCTCTCAAGAATAATATCGCTAAGGACTGCATTCTTGACAATGAAATATTCATCCAATAAGTCTAAGATTTAATGAAAAGTTATAAAGGAAGTACAATTATACCGTACACACCGATACAGCGACGATCCTGCACACGGTCTTCATTTTCTGCACGGCGGTACGAGGGAAAGAGCAACAGCACGTCCCCTCAGCCATGCGCAGCCAGGTGCACCGTGCATCTGCACTGGCCTTAAACCCTTCACGGCGCCACAGAGCCACTGCCCTCCGCGCCCTAACGTCTCCGCGCCCCGCGCTCTGACCAGCCAGCAGCCACTCTCCCTCCTGGCCCCGGCCCCTCTGTCTGCCTGGTCTGCATCGGTCTCTGCAGCTGGCTCGCTGCTTTCAGGCCCGTCCCCAAGGTCCACCACGCTGCGACATGTATCAGATGGACACCTCATCCATGAAATGGGCTTTCAAGGCTGGCATCAACACATCACAACAGATCACTGCGAAAAGCTGGACTTTGGTTTTTATCCGGGGAGCACGATAACCTTTAGAGCCAAACCCCAAGGTCAGGGGAAGAGACCCTCCCGTCCTTTCATACAGCGTCTGTGCTCAAACCCCGGCCAGAGGCAGACTCCGAGTTTCCGAGACACAAGGCCAGCTAACTAACCTACTCAGGTTAGGGTGCTTAGAGCAGAGTGACCAACAACTGCACCCCGGACTCAAGCGTACCTCTATACTGCCTCCACCCAGCCGGGAGCCGAAGTCACCGCGCACACCTCGGAAGTCAGCCTGGTCTTTCTCTCGGATGATCTCCAGTACCATTTCTCTTGCTTGCTGTGTAAATACAAATGCAAGGCATTATGGGGAACAGACTGCACCAGGTGCAACTTTCCAGTCCAACCCTGCCAAAGCGGGCTTAAAGTTTCAGAGGGTGCTCAGCTGAGGGAGAACTCAGCACAGCAGTTGTGGGACTAGGGCAGGCGGCTGGTAAGGGCTGCAGATTCAAATCCTGAACAACGGGCTCTTCAGGTGGCCCAGAGGTCTGCGCAGTGAGGGCCCAGCTCTTAAGCCACACCACGTCAGCACAGCTGTGTGGTCAAAACAGGTTCTGATGTCATGCCTTTCCAGTGGGAGGGGTGGCCAAGGTGACAAAGACCCCAAGAGGGTCCTCACAGAGGCCCTGCGGTAAGGTACAATTGGCTAGGGATGGCAAACAGGCTGGAAATGCTGGCAAGGCTGCCTTGTGGATCCAACAGCATTCAAGGTGACTCCGCTGCCCTCACCCGCACCAGGCCTGCCGTACCCAGCACCGTGAGGGGATGCAGGCGCCAAGACCGAGTCGTGGTTCCAGAAAAAGCCGAACCAACCGACCCAAGCAGTAAGCGGAGCCTGAGGACATTTGGAAAGATGGGCTCATGGACTGGATATGAGCTGATGCTATGGAATCACCGCTAAGTTTTTCAGGCCTGGTTATTTTATTGTTTTTATTTTTCTGGTGACACTGAGGATTGGGCCTGGTTATTCTTAGGGTTTGGGGTGAAATGTATCTGCATATTATGAATGGTAGAGAAAAAAATATACACTCAGCAAAACACTGAGTAGGCTGAGGGCATACAGTTGTTCACTGCACTTTTTCTCCTTTTACGAATATTTTAAGTTTTTCATAAAACCTGGGGAGAGAAAAACAATTTAACCTGAATACAGGGAACTATTTCTGCCAAATAAAGTGAATATATGGTTTTAAAATTAGAAAATGTTGAAAACCTTAGGCTATCGTTATTTTCTGCAATGAAACACTCTGCTCGGGCCTTTCCCCTGCAAGACACAACCCCAGGCTGTGCCGGAGAGGGCCGAAGGGCTGCCAGGTAGGCAGAAAGATGGCAGACGGCCTGGGGCTGGCACAGCCTGCTGCAGGCCCCCTTTGTGCCTCCGGAGGAGCTCAAGGGCCTAACAGTACCAGGACCCATGAACTGCAATGGGTAAATGCCGACAGGACTTGGTGCAATCTGGTTTTTTAAAATTTTGGCTGTCCTGAGGATAGAACCTAGAGCCTTCACACTACTGCATCTCCAGCCCTTTTGTTAAATTTTGACACAGGGTCTCAATAGTTCCCCAGGCAGGACTGGAACTTGTGATCTTCCTGCTTCAGCCTCCCAGAGTGCTGGGAGTATGTTACCATGCCCAGCTCTGCAATTTGATTTTCTTAAATTTGCCCTCCCCGCCCCCATTTATACGTAAAGAAGATGAAGAGGAAGGCCCAGGCCTAAAGGAAGGAGAGGAGTCACATCACTAAAACCCAAGGAAAGCCCCCGGCTCACCACCAGCCCTTGGTCTTTTGCTCACATGTGGATCACGACCAGCTCAGCTGATCGAGAAGGCCAAGAAGGGTAAGAAGCCCCAGAGCTCCTAAAGAGGCACGGTGGTGGACGGCGGCCCGGCTCTCCGAGCCATCACTGGGCAGCTGCTCTAACGCAGCCAGGGCGAGGCGGGCTGCAGGCGGCAGGAAGAGCATTCACATTTCACTGCAGACAGCCCTGCCCCAGTCCACAGCCAGCAGCCCCATCGCATTCCCGATGGCAGGGGGAGGGGCTGGACGAGTGAAGGCCAAGGCCCTAATGCTCTCGGGCAGCACAGCTGTCGTCCCGGGGGTTCAGGCACAACATGCCTGTGTGAGGCCCCACATGTGCCCATGTGGCTCTGGCACCTGTGCCCCTCTTCTGCTGCAGCTGACAGGGACAGGATGAGACGTAAGAGCCAAAAAAGCCGCGACTGGGCTCACCATGGCCGCTGACCTGAGCCACCTGACTGCACCGGCCACCGCAGCCTTCGGTCCTGACAGACACTGCCCGGCTCTGCTCCATCCCAGAGGACCATCTACTCACGCTACGACCCAGCACGTGACACAGGGCCCGTGGAGACAAGGGACCAGCCCTTCTCCAACCTGAGTGCTTCTGACAGCCTCCTGCAGCTGGCAGCTCCACACCAGGTAGCACAGCACCATGTCCTCTGCATCACATGCCTGCTCAGGAAAACGGCTTACTCCAAACAGGAGCACGCATAACACGATGTAAGACCGAAGCCCAGGCCAGCACCAGGCGACAGCCCCATACCCAGGACCCACCGCCCCGGCCTCATCCCTACCTGCACTTTAAAGGGGTCCCCAGTGATGCGGAGAGGCTTGTCCGTGCCCGTGGGCAGCGGGCCATCCTGGATCATGACCATCTTCACCCCCGTGCGCTCCTGTGGGGACCAGCACAGCCCTCACCGTCAGGGATGCAGGACGGCCGGGCTACGTCCACGAAGAGCCCAGGTCCCACCCGCCACAGCCACTGTGATCGTGTGACCTGGCCTGTGGAGCTGGCTTCTGGGAATGCACATAGCAGGTTGTGCGAGACAACATCCAAATGCAACTCATAAAACCGTTTCCCGAAACAATTCTCCTTCTTTCTTTCTGGCGCCCAGGACACCTGAACGCCAGGGACTCTCCTCATTCTACACAATGCTATATGCGCTTTACTTCCCATGCAGGTGCGCCATGGGAGGACGGCCTGTGCCGTGAGCTCAGCGGAAGACGGTCCTCAAGCGGGCTGCCCAAGAGCCAGGGCTCACCGCAGTGAGCTGCAATTCGGTTCCGGAGTCCGAGCCCTAAGCTCTGATATTCCATGGAGGCTGCTTTCCATGATCCAAGGCCTGGGCTGCGAGAGCGCAAGCACAGCGAGCCTCAGCCCTCACCTGCAACTGTAACGCCAAACAACTCTGAGAGCAAGGTGTTCCCAGCTAACATGGCAGCAGTAGAAATGACTCACATACGCCTGTTTTTAGCTTTCCTTTCACCCAGAGTGGCCACTCGCGTGGCTGCGAATATGCATCTGACTGTGCACCCCAACCCAAACCTTGCTGGAGACAACAGCAGCTCCTTGGAGCACATACTCAGCCAGACTCACATAAAACACTGGGTGCTTTTTCAGCTCTGCCATGAGAGGCAGGTGCCCCCCTTTCAGAGACAAGGATGGAGGACACTGCTTAAGAGCACGGGACTAACCAAGGGCGTGGCGGGCCAGGCGCCCTGTCCGGCACTGCCCTTCATCAGAGATGCTGCCATTTATGGTGAAGCACGCCCCGCAGAGCCTCGCTGTTGAGAGCTCACGGGAGCCTGGCAGGATGGAGGCGGGCGAGGTCAGCCTGGCTGCTCTGCCGGCTGCTCCGCCCGGGGCTGTGTAGGGCTCGCGTACCTGCAGCTGCTTGATTGTTTCTCCTCCTTTGCCGATGACCAGGCCCACCTTCGATGCAGGGATAAGAATCTCCTGGATCGTGCTGTTGCCGTCCACGTCATTGTGAAAGCCAGGGCCGTTCCGACAGCGGTCGACAATCTGCCCCAGGAGTCGCTTGGCTTGTCTTTGGGAGGAGAAGAACCACAGGGGAATCAGTATTAAATGCTCTGGGGCCACAGGCGGAGAGAGCACAAGGCATCAGGGCAGCCCTCCATCCAGCTCCAGCTCCTGCCCCCACAGCCCGGGAGGTCGCTCTGCCATCCGCCACGCTACTAGGCTAGAATTCAGAAGCAACACACACCATGACACCACCGTTCAGCGGGGCGCTGCGCCGAGAAGGGCACTGCCCTGCCCGTGCCTCCTCGTGTCTCCACAAACGTGGCTGCCTCCTACTGAATGCCAGCTGCTCTGGTGACAGGGACATCCTCTTAGCCCTGCACACATCTCTCTCACCAACCCTGTTAGCGCTCTTGCAGAGTACGCACTCACCACACGCTTGTTTAGAAAGGGCAGGAGAGAGAAATGAGAGACGGAAGGAAGAAAGCGAGGGTTAGTCGTCACTGTTTGAACCCCCAGTTCTCAAACTACTTCTCCACAACCAACAGAACTGCTCTGACTTTCAAAGCAGGGCCACAAGTCACCAGTGTGGCTGCAGGAGGCGAGCCCGCTGGGTGCGCACTCACAGGCAGCTGCTCTGTGCTGCCCGGCAGGGACCCCGAGCCTCCCGTGCCAGGCTACCGAGAGCCACCCAGCGTCGGGAGGGAAACCGCCCCGCAGCAATGGTGTGGCCAGCCCACCAGTGTCATCTCTTGGGCCAGCCTCTTCTCTTTTCTGCACCAGAATCTTTCCTGGCTGTTACTTGCAGAATTTATCCTTCAAACCACCGTACGCCATCTATGTTCTGGGTCCTTGGACAGAACTCAGTCCCTCAACAGGCCGCTGTATGTTCCCTGGAGGAAACAGCGGCTCCCCCAAGTTATAATCCCATCGCCTGGACTCCTTGGGTCGGTGTGAAGCAGGAGTGTTAGCAGAGTTGGAAGAGAGGAGGGACAGACAGGAAATAGATGCTGCCTTTGTAGTCTTTGTGTACAAAATCACTCCACGCTATCTTCTCAGTTACAGCGGCGTTTTAGTATTTTGCTGGTGCACTAGATTAACCTGTGCTGGAAGAAAAAAATGCCTGGACTCCAGCCAAACCATCCAGTTTGCCCTCTAATGCACTCCTGCTAGCAGTATTTATTCTGGTTCACCACTTGCAATGCTGCAGCAGAACAAGAGAATTTAAACTCATCTAGACTCCCCGAGAAATGGAAACAATAAAACAACCGTACCTATTGAGCCAGACATAATCTTAGCGCCCCGTCCCCATATGCAGCGCCACTCAGTAGATTGGAGAAGAAAAGTAAGGTGATTAGAGTCAGCATAGCCCTGCCCCAGGAGGGTCTGGGGTGAGGGGGCCTGTATCTGGCACGAGGCTCTGAGCATGCGGACCCAGACAGAAAAGCAGCGCCAGTCTTATGGCCAGTGTGAGGGCCCCAAAGTCAAGAGGCCTCCTGCTGGTCCCTACAGCCCTCTGAGAGGAGCAAAGGCCACGCACGGTGGATTTACTGGGCTCACTAATGTCGGAAGGGTCAGCCCCGATGAAACACCTGGGCCAGGACTCTGCAGTCACAGGGACAGGCCCTCTAATCTGGACCTGCCCAGGTAAGGCGGTGCTAACAGGAAGGAGGAAGTTGATTAGCACCCTCAGGTGGGGAGATGTCTGAGCCCGAGGAGACCTGGCCTCGCTTGCAAAGGAGATGTTAGGACAGCTGTGAGGCGCTCTGCAGGGTGAGAGGAAGAGGCAACACCTTGGGAAGGTAACAGAAAAGCTCCCCTGGCATGGAGCCCTCCCAGTCTTTTCCTACGGGAGCATCTGCTGGGTGGCCAGGCTGCAGCACAGACCGACAGTGTTCAGTAAGGACTCTGCCCTTCCATTTCTCCCCACTCGGGGAAGGAGGAAAAAAGAGTGAAAGGAAAAAGTAAATAAAACAAACTTACTCAATACTTTCTGGGGTTCCGGTAAGTACACAGGGCCTCTCTGGAATCCCAGAACTCTCTAGAGAAGAATCAAGAAGATGAGGTGTGTTGGTGGGCATCAGGCAACGGGTGCCTCTGCCTGTGTGCAGAGTGGCTCTCTGGGGCTGCTTCCTACACCAGCCCCACAGCAGCCCAGCCTCCCAAAAAGACAGTTTGCTTCGCGTGGGGACAGAACATGAGCTGGTTCTCAGAAGAGAAACAAGTCCCGCAGAGGAAGTCAGGAGGACGCGGTAGAGGGCTGTGAACTGGTCCTAAGTACCAGCCCCAGCTTCGGTACCATCCGTGAGCTACCGACTGGCTGAGCCACTTGACTGTGCTAGTCCTCAGCTTCTCCGCTGTAGAGGAGTTTAATGGTTGCATGTTTGCACACAGCCCTGAGGCACACCGGTAAGGAACTTGAGGTAAGCATGTCAGGACCATTACACCAGTTACTGCATGCCTGTCCCAAGAGATCAGCGACGCTATGTGCAACTGGTCCTGGCCATCTGACACAGGCGCAAACCTTATTTTCCAACACCACACGTGATGCTTTAGTTTCTAAAAAGCTGCTTCTTAAAATCTTTCCTCAGAGAAGAAAATAGCTAATAGCAGTTACTGCCTTTGAGATACTCTAATCAGCATTTTTTAAAACAACAAACATCTCTCTAATCAAGTACCCCCAGGCCCCTTTCTTCCCCCTGGAAGAAGGTCAAACTCAAATGAGATGATACAATGGCAAATAAAATAAGAACTGTTCTTCAATCTGTCTCTCTCCATATCACATGACCCAAATTGGTCCTGCTGGAAATATGTCTGACACATGTTGATTTGGCCAGAACCCCTAGCTGTCCTCTTTCCACAAAGGGACGGACGGGATGGTCTCGGCCAGGGGAGCCAGTGTGCAGTCCCCGAAGAGTCACCCCAAAGCCACGGGACTCCTGAGGCCCCACTATGCCCGGCATAACATTCTGGTGCAGAAAACACAGGTCCTAGGCAGCAGGCCTTTGTCACGGCGCTCTCTGCGAGGCTGTCTCTGAGCTGGCTTCGGCTCTAGCGATCCTGCAGGAGCCCGACTCCAGAAGTACAGGGAAACAGCAGCGACACATACTTACCTAAGCCCCCTGCCTTCTCAGCAACAAACCAAAGTACTGAAGCTGGAAACATTTGCAAAATACTGATTTGTACTGAACTGAGGTCTGTGAAAAAGAAGTCTTACCTGAGGCAATTTGAATTTTGCAACCAGATTCTGCTTGAATCCGTGAAATCTGCTCACCTCCCCTGCCAATAACTGAAACAAATTGAACACAGTCAGAATACAGCTCCAGCTCACATTTAACCATGCACAAATGGCTTAATGACTTCAACAAACATTACACTTGGCTCACAGCTCACGACAAACCAAGCTGGTGTCCTCAGCTCACGTGCACGCTACGGGCACCACTGTGGCAGACACCACACGCTAAACACAGTGGACAGACACAGAGGACGCTAACGGAGGGAAGGAGGGCGTGCGAACCCCACCCAACACTTCGGGCTCTTGTGTGGCCCGAGAGACCCGCAGCACTCGGCTGTGTGAACACATGCGACAAGTACTTGGCTATGGCTCACGTGAGAGCGAGTAGAGCAACAGGGCAGACAGAAACGAGGGGAAAGGATGAGGTGGATACTTACTAAACCCAACCATTTTGTCAGGCACTTTGAATTCTTCTGTTATGACTGCCCTAAAAACAAAAACATTTTGGAAAAATTGTAGAATAAAAAAATTCTGCAGTTATTTTAGACTCCCCAATTTCCCATACTGGCAATGCTGTCAGACTTGAAACAAGCCATGCCAGCCGACCAATAAACCGCAAGCCTCTACAGAGTGTCGGCTGGTGAGCCCTTTGCTCAGTCGCTTCCTGAAAAGATCAAGCCTTCATCTTCTCCCATCAGAGAAGAAACCTCTGGGTTTTCTGAAGCCATCAACTCCTCTAGGACCTACCTCTGCCTTGCACAGCTGCACTCGGCTGCCTAATCCACCTCTCACTAGGTCCTCCCTGGCACATGGAGCCCCAGGACCTTAAAGGTCCTTTTGAGTCTCTGGAGGTGTTCAGACTTCTGTCACAGACCCCGCCCCAGCTGAAGAAACCCTCGGTCTCCTTCAGCTGTTTCCCAATCTTGCTGTCGCCTCCTGGTCTCCCTGCAATTTATCTATGTCTTTTGGGTGAGGTGCCCCAAGTGGAACAAGCACCCAACAGGGGCCTACTCAGTGCTGAGCAGGACCAGGGAATCACCTCCCTCGCCCCTTGAGGAACTCGGCCAAATGCTAGCCCATCCATTATGCGCCTTTCTTCTTTTTAAACTACTGCATTGGCTCTTTCAAGCAAACCTTCAAATTGGCCATACAGTGTATTGTGGACAATATCCAATTTGCCCAACACCCCAGAAAGCAATTAAATCTAAACATTTACCTTGGGAGGAAGCTAAATGCGAGTAGTTTAAAAAAAAAAAAAGGCAAGCATTTTTAAACATCTCTCACACAGCTGGATTTTTACCCATCACGAGGAGGATTGAATAAAGTGCATGTTTTTCGGGAAAGTGCGGCACTTAGAAGAAACGCAGTAGCATAAATAGCACTTGCCACTCTGTCACTGTGATGGGAGCAAACAGTCTCCTCCTTGTGCAGTGTACACCCCCAGCCCGCGTACAGCAGCGCCGTCTCTCTCAGGATGCTCGGCGTCACCCCGATGCAGCCAGCGCCTGGCTTCCTAATCAGCCCCGCAGGCCTAACATCTTGCAGCGGACGCTGGCGGCTGTCAGCCCGCGCCCCTTGGCTGCTCCACAGGGTGACAGCAGCCCTGACACAGAGCCGCTGGCTGCTGCTCCCATCGTGGGTCGCATGAGCTGTCTCCTCGTGGGAGACAGTACTCGGGGGTTGACTAGAGGTCTTCAAGGCACTGCGTCAGGCAGTGTCACAGCTGGGGCAGTTCCCGGGCCTCCAGCAACCTTAACAGGCTCTCTGGGGAAGAAACATCCCAAGATGACTGCTTTGGGCTTCCTGGAAGAAAAGCCCTTTCCTAAAGGCGAGGCTGGGACCCGTCTAATGCACCAAGCGTTATTGTTTGGGAAAGTAAAACTCTACTATGGTGTAACAGGAAATTAAAGGCCTGATACTAACAGCCTTGTTTAAATTATTTTAATTCATAAAAAAAGAGAAGGTAACAAGACAACCTGGGATAAATGTTTTGGTTAACGGATGCCTGCTTATTAAAACGCTCCAAAATTCACGCAGAATGCAGAGGTCAGAGCTGTGGTGCTGGCAGTGAAGGTTAAGGGAGACGGGACAGGAAGGAAAGCGGCACAGCGTCCTGTTGCCCTTTGGGGATGGCACTGTGACAACAGACAGCTGATCTTACAAACTGGCTTTTCTAAAGCTCAGCCGTCTTTCCTCGGCAGTTAATGGAAGGCTGTGAGGGGAAACAGAGGCAGAGGCTCAGCGGGCACGTGGCTGAGGCTCTGCCACATCCCGATGGTCAAGGCAGGCTGGCACCCTGGCATCTGCAGCATCAGGAGTGTTCTCTGTGACCCCAAGGCCTCATGCTTTTGAGTGAAGACGTTGAAGTTCGTAAGACACGGGCAAAACCCTCAAACCCGATGGGCAATTTCACTCTCTCCTTTAAAAATAAATGTACACTGTCAGAAGACAGCAACTCCAGCACTCTGAAAGTCCTGGCGCTGCTGTGCATCAGGGGCCGATCTCCAGTGTCCTCCAGCGCTTCGTCCTGGGCTTACACTGTCTTGGAAGGGGCTGCAGGAAACCCTGAGTCTTAAAGAAATGGAGCCCATGGTTTCTCACACTCCCAACCTCTGACTTCCTAACACTCTAGTACAGATGGTGGATCAATAAACAATTAGAAATGATCAATAAATAATAAAACATAACCCACTGCTTACCTTTGATGTACCAAGGCCCCTAACTGGTTACCTACTGTGGCAAAGAGAAAGAGAAAAGAAAAATCAAAGCATTAGCGAGGATAAACTAACTTCATCCTTCTACGAGCTCTTACCATTTCAGGGGGAGAAAGGACGGCAGAAAGAAAGCAAACAGTAATTTAGGCTCAGTGGCTGAGATGAATGCGTTACATGATATGAAACAGGAGGGGACGCCTTGATCAGCACAGTCTCTAACCCAGTGTCCAGCTGAATGCAGGATAAGAAATTGATCTGTGTGTCCCCATGCTGAGAGGCCTGGGAGAAAATCCTGCCCGCCTAAATCCCTCTAACTTCCTACTGCCCTCCTGCTTGGGATCCCAACTCAATGTAAAGCCGGAGGAGAGGGCTCCTTCTCTCTCTTTTAAAAACAAATGAGAAGATTTACCCTCCTCAGAAGCATTGTTACGGATGCTCAGCGGCAGCTGTAGTCACTAAGAACACGCGCATATGTCCCTGGCGGCCCGCCTCCCCGGCCTCCTCCCCGCGGGCCCACACGGCCGTCCGCACACAGTGGACGTCGGGAACTCGCAGCCGCCTCTCAAGCCCATTTCACAGAGACAACAGTGCCCAACAGCCTCTCATTATTAAAACCGACTCTGTAATCACATTCCCACAAAACCACTTTAGCTACGCTTTTTGTTCCAGTTTCTCTTCTTTCAGCTATTGATGAGTGTCTCCTCCACTGGCCATCAGCAAAAATGATTCTGTGGCATTTCTCTTTTGAAAAATGCAGCTCAGGAAATATAGTCAGCAGACAATAAGTACAAACCCCAAACATATTGCAAAGAACTGAATGTACCTTCCAAGATGCTAAAAAGAGCATTCAAATATGTGTCTTTGGAGAAAGTTATTAAAGAATAGCTAAGAGGAAAGTGGGGAAGGATCCATTACATCAACTTCAGGACAAAGAGCAAAGCGGTTTGATACAGGAAACACACAACTCCAACTGTTCTTCTTCCTGTTCAAATGTAATCTTGTCAGTCTGGACAGGAGCTGGTCAGAGACAAAGGAGAAGAAAGCATGTCGTGACATTCTGAAAGAACAGAGAGCACACAGAAACAACACTAGCAAAAAGTAGGCAAAGCTACTGAGCTCCCTGACATTCCACCAGGTATCTCTTCTGGATCAATAGCAAGATAATGGTCTGCAGCCAAATTATTGACAGTATATACTGTTAATCTGCTTGTCTCAGGGATAAGAGCATTGTTTTCTAACAGACTCTTAAAATGTTCTCTATGCACATCTACTTGGATTGTAACAAATGCTGCTGCTTGGGAGAGAGAGTGCTCACGACTATTTCACCCCAAACCCTAGCCCAGGACAGGCCTTGCCTCCTCCGGAGGACTGCCCAACACTGAAGGCAGAGGGAAGGCAGCAAACACCTAGCACAGCGAGGCAGAGGGCCTGTGGGATTGCATAGCGATTCTGGCCTGAGGCAAATGCAGCTCCCCTAACTGCCATCAGGACCGTCTCGGGGGAGTAAAGGAACCGCTGAAGTCTGGGGAGCTGAATGTCTAGAACTACGAGGTCAGAGGAGAGCTGCCCACTAACCAGGCCCCTGGCCACCGCCTGCTGGGTCCCAGACAGCAAACGGCCCAGGACCTCTGGATTCAGCAGTCTCAGAAGAGCTACAGAAACAGAGCAGAGGGCAGCGCTGCCGCAAAGAACCCCGCTTGGGCAGAACACTTCCGCTCAAAAGCCATTCCCAAGTAACCATTCTACTCACCACCAAAATGGAAATTCCCTCTTGCTGACAAAGTGTACACTGGAAGCGTCACGTACACAGTACCATTTGTGACACTCTGACAAGTGCAGGTGCCCACAGAGATGGAAGGTAAAATTGCACACACCATCACTCCACAAATAGACAGACTGTGGGGGCCACACCACCCAGGAGAGAAACCAAACCCAGACCCGGTCTACCCGGTGGGCCGACGGGAGGCTTAGGGGGGCCCCCTCCCCCACCTCGCCTGGGGCACACGCTGTGACCCAAGACTGAGGTTCCCCTCCCTTAGGACACAGTCGCGTTTGGCGCCTAAAATTGAAACCCAGCATGGCCAGGAGAGGCCCCGGCTCACACAGCAAATGGGTGTCCAGCTCCAGGACCAGGACCTCTCCTCAGTTCTCCCTGGAGGAGGGGCACGGCAGGGAGGCCGGCGGGAAAGCCTATCAAGTTCAATTTAATGTAACTGCAGTCATTTTACTGCAAAGGAGGAAAAGGCTGAATAAAATCAGTCCTATTTCCTGCTAATGGTGCGAGCTGGCCGACAATGCCTCACCCTCTTCCGAGCTCCCCTTAGCTCAATTCCAGCGCACCCACGTGCACAGGGGCAGCTCTCATTTATCCTGCACACCACATAATAAGAGGCTGCTTGGGCTGCGCATGGAAAATGAATCTCACAGAGAAAGAGTCATCCTACAACGTACGAAATTCTTTCTAAAGAGTAATACTCTGCCAATTTCAATAATGCTCCGAAAAAAAAAGTCAGGTGGCCAGAGATATTAGTGAGGAAGGAAAAAAGCCTTTTTCTTCTCCCAAAGAAACGCTAACAAAGTTATTTACTGGGCAACACACCCAGCTTTCTAAGAGGTGCCAGCCCTGTCACCCGCTGGCCCCACACGCCCCAGGAAGGGGAGCAGCCAGCGCTGCTCAGGACGGCAGGTGCGGCATGGCTGGGGTCTGCAGAAGCGCAGGTGAACAGCTCAGCTGGGGGATGGCACTTTCTGTGCCCGGCAAAACCTCAGCAAACCTTGCTCTGGCGCCTGGGAGTCCTCACGGCCCCTCCGCCCACTGTGCTGGGGAGACACAAAGGCTTCCTGTGTCTTGCTGCCTCCCAGAGTTCAAGCGGAAGACCCCTGGCAAGTAACCGGTTACTAATTTTTTTTTTTTTTTGTCTTTTTGAGACACTAATTTTACTAATTTGTTACTAATTTTGCAAATTACGTATTTTTCAAATGCGAGAGAAAATTCAAGTTTATCCCAACCTTGTCGCTCCTCCTGGCAGTCTCGCGCCCTTTTGCAGCCCGCCGGTGCCTCCCTGCACAGCCCCGCGCCGCCTGCCTGAGAGGAGGGCGCAGCCTGCTGTCTTGGGCTGCGTTCACTCTTTGTGGCTACGGCTGGGCCTTGCAGGTGCTGAGCTCGGGGCCAGGCCCGAGGATGCAACAGTGCAGGAGAGGCTGAGATCCGGAGGCGGGATGGCGAAGAGCTGCGTGATCTGGAAGCCTCACCTGGCTGGGGGAGGCTGAGCTGGGACTAGGCGCCCTGAGGAGTGCGGGCCACGGCCTCCCCGAAAAGCCGTGCAGCCACAGTGAGCAAACACCAACTCTGCAACCTTCCACTCATAGCACTAAGCTGTTTCTTCATTTAAGCCAGTAAAATCAGGATAGGGAGTCACAAGGAGCTTTATTTGAAATTGACACAGAAAACAGAATGTAATACAGTAAGGGTGTACATTTCCTAAACCTTTTCAATGACACATGCTTTAATATGTATATGCCGACCAGTTCTGATGGAAAACTGTTTACTCAGATTGTTAGTGGCATTTATAAATAATGGATAATCTCATGACATAAATGTAAGGAGCTCTAGCTCACAGGTGAGGAAACAGGCTCAGAGATGTTAATCCCTGCCTAGAATCACACAGCTAACAGCCGGCAGAGCTGGGACTTAAGCCCCAGTCGATGCAGCTTCCCTTGCAATGTGGTCTTGTCCTACCCCTCCTGTACCTCCTGCAGTGTTCAACCCTAACCCCTGCCATCTCTCATCTACTGTTTATCCCAAAAATGTTGGTTGGCCTTTTGTACGCGGCACACTTCTGGGAGCTGTGTCCAGGGTGCTGCACAGACTGTATGTTCCTTTTTCCCCGCTGAGTAATACTCTGTGACACAGCTGACTGTTTATCACTTCACTGGCAGAAGGACATCCATTCTGGAGTTGTCAGGATAGAGCTGCTGTGAGGTTTGTGGAGAGGCTTTTGTGCAAACATTGAGTTTTCATTTCCTGGGGATAAAGGCTAAGGGGTGCAACCATGGGCTGCATGGGACACGTGTGTAGTTTTGTAGGACTGTGAAAACACTCTTGTGGGGAGCCCATACTGTCACAGTAAGTGTTACAAGCTTCCTAGGTTGGATGGATTCTCACATCCACCTGGGGTAGAAAAGCTACTCCCTAAGAGCTCTGCAAATCCAGGGACCCCGTGAAGCGAGCGCCTCTGCTGCCCTGGCTAAGGGGCTGAGCATGCGCAGACCTGCTGGACTCCTGTGAGAGCCAGGCCCTACTCCGCCCCGCTCCCCCTCACAGGAAAGAGGCTCTTGCATCCCTCTGCCTCCTCACATGTGCACGGGCCCCACGCAATGCCCCTTTGCTCCTGAATTTCCGTCCTGAGAAGGGCAGATGGGGCTGGGGCAGGGCTGCTGCTGATAAAGTCAGACTCCTGCATGTCACCTGGGGCTCCCCAGTCTAAGACCCTCACACCTGCCCAGGAAGGGCAAGAAGCCAATGGACAGCCTCGCAGCAGTCACCGGCTCCCTATGCAGCAGCCCAAGGGCAGTGCCCAGGCACCAACTCACTGCGCCCCTCACACCCGGCTCTTGGGCCCACTCTCTGCACGGGCTCAGGCCCTGCTCTCCACCCTTCCAGCGGCTACCCTGAGGTAGGGAAAGCACTGCACTGCAAAGTCCCACCTCTCTCCCCTAACCGGACCTCTGGGACTTGTGGGCCTAGGCCGCCGGGCAGCAACCGTCCTAGACCTCGGCACAGCCAGCTCCCCTCGCCTGTCTTGTTTTAAAATGTTATCGAGGGACAGGATCTCACTAAGCTGCCCAGGTTTCCCTCCAACTCGAGATCATCCTTCCTCAGCCCAAGTAGCTGGGATCATAGGTGTACACCACTGGCTGGCTATCATCTCTCTTCTCAGTCTGGGATTTAAAAAACCTTTCTGCTGGGCACAGTGGCACATGCCTGTAATGCCAGCCCTTGCAAGGCCAAGGCACGAGGATCCTGAGTTCAAGGCCAGTGTGGGCTACATAATGCGAACCTGTCTCAAAAAGGAGGGGGCCTGGGGGTGCAGCTTGGTGTGCAGGCCCTGGCTTCCATCCACGGTACAGAAAACTAAAACAAACAAAACAGCCCACCAAAAAAACCCAGTAAACAAAAAACATTTCCTCCTCCCTCTGCTTTTTCTTTCTCTTTGCCCTGTGCTACAGGGGTTGAAACGAGACCTGAGAAGGATCATAAAAGTATTTTCTTCCAATCTTCCTTAAATATTTCATCTGATAGTATGCCCAAGAAATCTTTCTTTGCCTCAAAAAATACTGTCAAAATAAAATGAGATTCCTGGTACCCCCCACAAAATAAAATAAAATAAAATAAAATAAAATAAAATAAAATAAAAGCAGGTGGTCATGGTAGTGCACAAATGTAATCTCAGCACTGCAGAGGCTGAGGGAGGAGGATCTCCCAGAGTTCAGGGTCAACCTGGGCTACATAACAAGTTCAGAGCCAGCCTGAATTGCACAGTAAGACCCTGTTTCAATGAACAAAACCCAAGGTTGTGCTGTACCACACCAAACAGGATCACAAAAGCACCAGAGACTTGTCCTTGGGACGGAAGGTGGCTGTATTTCAAAGTCACTTGGCAAGAGCAAGGCTCCACACACCTCCAGGTCAGGATCTGGGCCCGTCATAGTGTGGGGAAGAGGGTAAGGCATGGCCCCAAGGCTGCACTCCCTGCTAGGAGTGCTGAGAGGACACTGGCCTCTCCATATGTCCACCAGCTCAGGAGCAAACACGAGGTCACCTGGCTTCTGCGGGGCGAGGACAGCAAAGTGACAGGACCTGCCATGGCTTAGGAGACTGGTTTAAGGACAGTGGCAGGGACTCTCCGGAGGACAAGCAGGTGTGAGGACCAACTGCCATAGGGCTAGCGCTCTACGCCCGAGGGCATCGTCCAACTGAACGTGGCTATGGCTTGTTTACCTCTGTGTCTGGCTGCTCCAGAGATGCAGCTGCACAGCTGAGCAGTGGGACAGGGCCTGCAGCCCAAACTATTTACTGCCTGGTGCTTTAGGAAAAAACTTATCAATTCCTGGCTGAATTTAAGTTAGCTAATACTTTGCTGACACCATCCTTTCCACTGGGAGCCTACCTCTCACAATGCTAAAAATGCTAATGGCCAGGCGTGGTGGAGCACACCTGTAATCCCAGCACTCAGGAGGCTGAGGCAGGAGGATTGTTGAGTGTTCGAGACCACCCTGGGCTACAAAGTGAGCTCAAGGCCAGCCTGAACTGCATAGCGAGACTCTGTCTCAAAAAGACTGGAAAAAAAAAAAAAAAGAGAGAAGAAAATGCTGATGATTGGACTCAGTGAAGGAAAAGTTAAGCAGGACAGTTCCTGCTTCCACTGCCTGTGCTTGCGGAAACAAGGATCGCTGTCTCGGAGACACCAGTACAAGAGGTGCGCGAGAGCTGCTAGTCCCTGCAGAGCAAAGGACGTGACAATGGGCCACTTCTGCAACTCGGAGGGCATGTGACCGAGTATTCCCGGTGAGGCGAGTGTGAGGAGGGGCCGGGAAGCGGCAGGCAGGCGAGACATCCCCAGGAGGAAGTCACAGCTGCCAGCCAGAAGGCAGCCAGGGGCCGAGCCGAGTGCAAGACTGGGAGGACGGCGAGGTGGCGGGCAGATCGGAACTACCTGGGTGCCGAAGCTCACACCCACCCCACAGGAGGACTCCAACAGGTCAGACTGGCTCCAGAGCAGCGCGAACTCACCCGACGGAGCGCTCCAGCAAGAGCAGGGCGGGACCCGAGCTGGTGCGGTGCCAGCGGCACACTTCAGACCGTTACAACGTGCAGGTGTCAAGAATGCAGATGCTAATAGTAACAGTGGCTCAGTCGGAGGCTGGGGGCCGCAGGAGGGCTGTTGCTGCCAGGAAGGACATCCAGCAGGCCCTGAAAGCCGGGCTACGGGCTCCAAGAGGATTCTCACAGGCGGCTCGGAATGCCTCTCCCCCCGCCCTTTCTACATCAGGACGATGTGCATCACAGTCTCACACACATTCGCTGCTCCAACGCATGCACCTGCCCGCAAACCTCCCCACCCCAAATAAATCCCACTGTCAGGTTCCTTCGAGTTAAAGTCAAAGCTAACATGTTTTTAAGTGGGCCTGAAGAGCACCTTCCATGTTTTGGGGCACGGGACCTTGCCCTCTGAAAGGTTAAAGAACTCTGCTCCCAGGAGAGTGAGAAAGTTCAGGTTGCTAAAGAAGCGATCTGGGAGCTTCAGTCCAGAAAAGCCCTGGCCAAACCAAACAAAAGCCTTGGAGATCGCTGCCACCACGAAGGAAGTGCTGGATTTGTGTGTCCTGCTCCGCCTCGGGGCTTTTCCAGACTTTGCTCACACGAGAGCCCCCACGCTGTGAGGCACAAAGTAGCCAGCACAGGTGCGCACGTGAGCACCGGCCCCGCGGAATCTGTGGCTGATTTCCTCTCCATCCTCACTGCCACCAGAAGACAACGGACACTGTGAGGCTACGGCAGGCCCCACATAGGGCTCCCGGGCTCCCAGGCTCCCAGTGAATGACAGTAAGCCCGATTTCTACACATGGAGAAAACAAATGTGTACAACTCTTCTTTAAAAGTGCTCAACAGGAGAGGAAGAATGGCTGGCTGTGGTGACGCATGCTGGTGATCCCTGTAATGCTAGCACTCTAGAGGCTGAGGCAGGAGGATTGCTGTGAGTTTGAAACCAGCCTGGGATACGTAATTAAAAAAAAAAAAAATGAAACAAGAGGAATGATTTTATCAAACTGTTAAGCAAAGTATAAAAGGCCTGAGGAAATGTCCTGTCCTTCAAACAGTCTGTTGTCCCACAGGCCGTGCGTGTCCGGAGAAGTCTGCAGATCTGTAGAACACAGCCGGGCTCCTGCTCGGCCTTGTCACTGTGCCGAGGGGAAAGGGCAGCCACGTTTCTCCTGTTTGGAGAACTTACTCTCCAAAGGCAGACATGAAGCACTAGGATTCACAAGAAAGCTGTAACACACGGTGCTGCAGGTGGGGCTCTGGCCGCCTGGCAGCCCTGGCTACATCAGCTCCGTCTGCTGCCTGCGTCTCTCTATTGATGAATGCAGGGCCTTTTGCTGGGTTTTTCAAATGGGTGTGCAGAGCACTGATGGGAGGCAAATGTCTGCACCAGGCTGTCGGGCTCCATTTGCAAACATGAGGCGTTCCCTTTGCGTGGCTCCCTGCGCAAGGACATGGTGACTACCTGTTTGCTGCCCACCTAAGGGTCAGCCCTTCAACAGCAGGCAGTGGGTGACAAGGCTGAGCTGTCAGGGAGGGAAGGCCGAACGAGTTGTAAAACACAATGATCTCGACTTGTGAAACACTGGGCCGGGGAGACACTGTTCATCAACGAGACCTGTGCTCAGGAGCGGACAGTTGTTTTACCTTTACACTGACATCCTGTGGGAGGGAGAAAGCACAACTGCCCTCCGTGTGCAAGGTACCAAGGTGACCGTACGTTGCACTGCAACTCATCACTGGGCAAGCACGCAGACACCTCCAACACCAGTCGAGTAGAAAAAGCTCACAGGGCACTGGTGTGCAGCAGCAGTTCCAAGAGTTACCTCACTTCAACGGCCCTGGAGTGCAGCATCCGTGTGTACGATCATACACAGATTTTTTTTTTTTTTTTTTTTTTGTGGTACCGGGGATTGAACTCAGGACCTTGTGCTTGCCAGGCAGGCACTTGTGCCACTGAGCTATATCCCCAGCCCCAAACAGCTTTAAATAGACAAGAACTTCCACAATCAAGTGAGCACTTTGCCTTAAAGCGCTTCACCCTGTGAATCTCAATAATCATCCCCAAAACGTTCCCACATCTAAAAACAATGGCCATCTCCTCTTTCAGAATTCCCAGAGACCAGAGGACTCAGTCACACTAAGTTGTACTCTACATACAGAAAAGCACGCACTTGTTTTGGAAAAGGAGATTACACAATGTATACTACTCTGCACCCTGATCTTTCCACCTGATCTATCACAGAAGCAAACACACAGGGGCTGGGGATTTAGCTCAGCAGCACAGCGCCTGCCTGGCAAGTGCAAGGTCGTGAGTTTGATTCCTGGTACCGGGAAGGAACAAAAAAAAAAGCAAACACACACACACACACACACACACACACACACACACACACACACACAAACCACTGGGTACATATGCAGACCAGCAGAAAGAACAGCAGAGAAGACTCACGCGCAGCCTAGGGCACTCTACCCCTTGGAGAGCAACACAAGACAGACACGTGAAAGGGAGCCAAGCACGGTGCAGAAACACATGGGCAAACTCTGCTCAAGCACTACTTCTAAGTGGGCTCAAGTTCCTGTTGGCATGGAGCAGGCAATACAAACCAACCAGTAAAACAATGAATGAATGGATGAATGAATGGCCTGTCACAAACAGGGATGGCGACAACCCTGCAGTGAAACTGCGGAAAGGTCACTGCCTCTCTTCCCTCTTCTGGAGCTCAGGATGCAGCCACTGCTTCCTCAGGGCCACGTACCCCGTCTTTGTTCTCCTCTGGAGAAAGTGGGAACTTCAGCCCCACTTGTGTCCCGGAAGAATGGGGCGAAATCGAACAAAATTCTCATGTGACTCCCGAACAGATGCTGGAGGCCCAGGCTTTGCCTCGGGGTGCAGCTGAAAGGTTTCCCACGGTATCGAGGTGAACAGGAACTTAAAGGCTGGTGAACTGCTGAAAATACCACCCTCAACACTTCCCATCTGCTCTTCCTCTAACGGGTGCCGGGGAGAGGCTGGGGAGGGGATGGCCTGACACACAGTCAAGCTAAACTGGCAGGTGCACTGCCATCTTGAAAGGCAAGACATTTGTGGCAACCTACCTCCATCGTCCAAGGGCCGCTTCTGCACTCCATATCCATACACCGAGGGGTCCACGAGAGGTGTGGAGTTATTCAAGTGAGGAATTGAATCAATTTTAGCAGCGATCTACAGAGAGAATCAGATTTAAATGCTCAGTACATTCACAGGAGAAAGGGCGGAGTCCTCTGTACGGGGCCCTTACCACAACTCTGCCCGACCTGGAAAAACGCACACCACTGTCGTGATGGGACAAACCTGCCCCCTAATTAACGTGGCTTTCTTATGGTCTTAATAAAAATGTGTCTTTAGAAATAAAATACTTTCCAAAATGTGTCTTCTATAAGCGAAGTATTTTAAGTAGCTACTAAACAGAATAGGTATGCCACAGTTTAAGGGGGGGGTGGTGGTGGGAAAACAATATGGAATTCTTTGTTGGAAAGGTTTTATCACAGGATTTCTTCCCTTGTGCAATACATTACTCAAGAATTTCAGAAAGGAAGCCTGGCATGGTGGTGCTCAGCTGTACACCCAGCACTCAGGAAGGCTGAGGCATGAGGACTGCCAAGTTCCAGCCTATCCTGGACAACTCAGTGACTTAGTAAGACTCTGTCTCAAAATAAGTAAAAGGAACCAACCATAAAACAAAAAAAAGGGAGAGGGGCTGGGGATGTAGCTCAGTGCAAAGGCCCTGGACTCAACTCCCATTCCCCCAGTCCCCTTGTTTGCTCAGAAGTGACAACTCTTCAGATCCATCATCCTAAGAACTTTAAGGTCTCTCAGCCGAGGGTGTAAGCTACAGACACATGAAGCTCCTTCTAAAAGGATGTGTCTAGGCAATTTCCCGATGCCTGCGTCAGACAGAGGGAGACGTCTGCGAGCTTCCTCGCTGCTAATGCCATCAGTGAAAGAAAAGGACACAGCTACTGACAATTTTCTACAGAAATAAATGGGAAACAGGACTCACTTGTCTACCTTGTTCACAGCAGGAAATTAAACTCGATCTTCACAATAAGCCAACTCTCCTACAAGCAAAGGTAGCAAAGACCTGTCTACTGATCTCAGCACAGCCCCCGGCTGCCCTTGCCACACAGGGTGGGTGGAGAAGCAGCTGGCACAGCTCCCGTACAGCAAAGTCCCTACTGGCTGTGTTGAGTTGGTTCCCAGGAGCCTGCGGCTGCCTGGGACCAACACAGAGATACACGACCTTCATCAAATAAACGGCCAAAGAAACTGTGATGCTTAAAACCGAGCACTGGGCTCAAGATGCCCAGCACGCTGGGGTCAGGGGCTCCTTGGTCTCCTTCCGGCCGATTTTAGTTCTGAGACAGGAGACAGCCTCTCTTCTCAATGCACAAGATCCCCTGGGCATGATGCTGATTACTCAGTGTCTCAAAAGATGATAACAGTTCTTGTACAAAGAGTACTCTGGACACTAGAAATGCTTCACAAATAAGCAACTCCTCAACCAAATGTGGTCCTGGGAGGCCACTGGGAAGAGGCAATGTCCCTGTGGGACCTGAACAATGACCAAGAGCTGGCCACAGCAAACAAAAGGAAGACGGTCCTGGGCAGAGTGAACAGCTCATACTGAAGGCCTGAGGCTAGAGCAAGTGTGAGCAGAGAAAAGGGTGGCTACGTGGTAGGAAGCAGCCGCGTTCTGACAGGCAGTTCACTGTGGGCCACTGTAAGGAGCTCAGGGTTTACGGAATGGTTGATGGGAGGCTACTACAGGCCTTCATCAGTGGAGAAACGCGCTAAGTTTCTGGATAAACACTTGCATTTCTGTATTTAAAAGAGCTCCTTGACTGCTACATGGGGCACAGATTGTAAGGGGACAAAGGCAGAGACGCAGTTAGGAGGCACTGCTGTGGTCCAGGTCAGGGGTCAGGCAACATGACTGCTGAATCAGCTGTTTTTTAAATAAGTTTTAAGCCAGGGATAGTGGTGCACACCTGTAATCTTAGCATATTGTGAGGCAGAGGCAGTAAGGTTGCAAGTTTGGCCCACACTGGACAACTCAGTAACTTAGCAAGAGCCTGTCTCACCTACAATAGCAAAGGCAATTCTGGACAACAAAGGCAAGGCAGGGGACATCATAATCCCTGACTTCAAAGTATACTACAAAACTACTGTGATAAAAACAGCATGGTACTGGCAAAAGAAAAACAGACCCAAGGATCAATGGAACATATTAGAAGGTACAGAAACAACTCCAGACATACTCAGCCACCTTATCTTTGATAAAGGTGCCAAGTACATGCACTGGAACAAAGATTGCCTCTTTAATAAATGGTGCTGGAAAAAACTGGCTTTCTACATGCTGAAGATTAAAATTAGAGCCATATCTTTCACCATGCACTAAACTAAAATCAAAATGGATCAAAGATCTAAATATTAAAACAGAAACATTAAATCTACTGGAAGAGAAAATGGGTAAAACTCTTGAAGACACTGGTGTAGGCAAAGACTTTATGAACAAAAGCCCGATTGCAAAGGAACTATCACACAGAATCAACAACTGGGATCTCACTAAAAAGCTTTTGCGCAGCAAGAGAAACCACCAACAGAGTGAAGAGACAACCACAGAGTGGGAAAAACTTTTTGCCAGTTGCTCTTCTGACAAAAGACTAACATCTAGAATATATAAATAACTCAAAAAAATCAGACTCCCCCAAATTTAAAGACCCAATCCCAAAAAGGGCATCTGAGATGGATACTTCTCAGATGGAGAAATACAAAAATCAAATGAATATATGAAAAAATATTCAACATCACTGGTCATTTGAGACATGCAAATTAAAACAACGCTAAGATTTCATTTCACTCCAGAAAGAATGGCTGTTATCAAGAAATCAACTAACAACAGGGCTGGGGATTTAGCTCAGCAGCACAGTGCCTGCCTGGCAAGTGCAAGGTTGTGAATTCGATTCCTGTTACCAGAAAAAAAAAAAAAAAAATCAACCAACAACAAATGCTAGCGGGGCTCTTGGGAAAAAGGAACGCTTCTCCACTGTTGGTGGGAGTGCAGATTGGTGTAACCACTGTGGAAATCAGTGGGGAGATTCCTCAATGAACTAGGACCAGAGGTTCCATTTAACCCAGATATTCCCCTTCCTGGTATCTTCCTGACAGAATTAAAAGCATCACAGTGACATATGCACTCCCATGTTTACAGAGTACAGTCTGTAATAGACCAATCTTGGAAACAGCTCAAATGCCCATCAACTGGTGAATGGATAAAGAAGATGTGGTTTTTCAATACAACAGAGTACTACTCGGCCATAAAGAAGGATATGCTCAAGACATTCCTAGCTAAACGGATGCACCTTGAGACCATATTTTTACATGAAATAAATCAGACACATGCACTGTTTCTCTGGTTTGAGAAACTCAAACTGCAAATAAGGACCAAAATGTATAATAGGTATTATGTAACAGAAGAAAATGTTCAAATGGGGAGGATGAAAGGGGAGGAGGAAGAGGGAAAAGAAAGAAGGGTAAAATAAAAAACAAGTGAGAAAAGCAGGAAAAAAATGGAAACAAAGCTTTTGTACACGGGGAGGGGAGGACACTTGAAGGGAGGTTAGTGAAATGGGAAAAAAAAAGAAACAAGTTATATCATGTGCGGGTACAAATTCTCTGTGATGAATGTGAACATCATGTGTATCTAAAATGTACAATAAAATCTGATTTTTTAAAAAAAGAGTCTGTCTCAAAATAAAAAAAAAACAACCAAACAAGGGCCAGGGACACAGACCCACGCAAAGGCCCTCAGGTGAACCTCTAGTGCTGGGAAAAAAGTCCTAGCACGTGCTATGGCTTAGATCTTAGATGTCCCCCACAAAGCTCAGGTGCTCATAGGCGGGGCTTGTGAAAGGTGACTGAACAAGCTCGGTGCTGTGACGTGAAAGTGATGTTAGGAGGCGGGCCTGGCTGAGGCGGGATGGGGGAGTCGCCTGATTGGCTCTCTCCCATTCCCCAGGCTCCCTCATCTCTGCTTCCTGTCTGCTGTGACGTGAGCAGCTCTTCTCCGCCCAGGCCTTTCCCCGTCACCTTCCTGCCTTCGAGCCAGCCAACCACAGACTACAACATGGGCCAGAGTGCCTCTCCTTCAGGCTGCAGCTGCTGGGTGTGGTGTCCCGGCCCTGAGGAGAACACAGCACGCTCACCTGTTTCTGTGTGGTCTGTGGCTGCCTCTGCATGATGGCAGCGTCACCAGGAGCTGCGGAGATCGCACCGGGCACAAAGCCTGCATGCAACGCGTGCTATTACACGGACCTCGAAGGGCACCTGGCTCACCCTGTCTAGGCCGGAGAGGATGGAAGTCTGGACAAGTGCCTGTTTACACCAGCCCCCCTCCCCTAGCCAAGTCTCCGGGTAGGAGCGTCTGCTCTAGAACAGGACTCTGACACAGAAATCCTGCGCCACTGCGTTCTGCCCCTGCCTGCAATCTCCCTCCAGATGTGTTCTGGATAAGCCTGTGCTGGGTGGCTACTCAAGATGCAAACGCTGCTTTCAGGCCTCAGCCAGCACAGCGGATGGATTAAAAAGGTAAGAGCGCTGCAACGTCTTCTACCCCACAGAGGCCCTTTCACAGTGGCATGATAAGCTAAGCAGTCAACGGCTAGAGTAAGGGCTGTCAAGATTACTGGTCCCACACCAGGCACAGTGACGCACACCTGCAATCCCAGGACTCTGGGAGGCTGAGGAAAAGCACTGGGAGTTTGAGCTCAGCCTGGGCAACTTCCGTCACTTACTCAGATCTTGTCTCAAAATAAAAAATAAAGTAAAATAAAAAATGGGCCAGAGATGTAGCTCATGGCAAAGCCCAAGGGTTCACTGCCCAGAACTGCAAAAACAAACACACGGCTGAAGATGTAGCTCAGAGTAGAGGCCCTGGGTTCAATCTCTAGAACTGAAAAATACAAAACAAAACAGGCCCCAAACATTCCCAGTAAACAGTGAAGGTGACTCCAGTGATTGCAGAACAGAACAAAAAGGAGCGAAGGCGCCATGCTTCTCGGTGAAGTCCCGAGCAGCAGACAGTACTACGTATCGAATCGCATGCCCAGACAGACAAGACCCCACACGCATGAGCCGCAACATCCCCGCTTCTTTCTGAGGAC